CCCAAAACTGCTCAGAAGAGTTTGGTAATGTAGATGGAGAGAGAAATGGAATGATGGATGGGAAAAAGGCCTTCCCTGGGGGTTAAGGAGGTTCGTGGGGTTTTGAAGGTCAAAGATAAGTCCATATGCTTTTCCAAATGCTGGATAACACAAATGATAGAGCAGATAAAGTTCAGGAACAATGTCTTTAGCCATCCAAAACGTGGGAAGGGACAATTCACCCACTTGGACAGGAGGCAATGTAGTGAATTATACGTGGTGCACATGCAGTAGTTTTGGAAATACATTTCAGAAAGGATAAAGTAGAGCCTTCTGGCTGCCTCTATTTTCAGTGATAAGAGAGAAATTATAGCTAGAATAAGGACAAATGGAGATGTGTGGAGAGAGAAGATGTGAAGTAGTAATCTCTGACACAGAAAATACACGATGTAGGTGAATGCAGTAGGATTGCTGGGTAAGGCAGGGGTCACTTGAGAGAGATGGTCACAGACAGCAGATTGGGAGGCAGATTATAGCCTAGTAGCATGTTTTCTATTCACAGCCACTGTTTAGGCACAGGCACAGAATAGGCGCAGTAGGAAGTCTAACAGCCCTGCAATTCTGCCAGCCGATAGAAAGGCAATGATGTCATATTAGTTACAATAAAATCTAGCTCTGGAACCCTAGTGATCATTGTGCAGCACCAACGTCACCTCCAGTGAGGATCTTCATCTTCACAAGACCTCTGGATGATCCATATCCACTGTGAAGTTTGAGAAATACCTGAGTAGAAGCCAAGTAAGAACAGGAAGACATTAAAAACACAAGGAGACCAGGCTTTGAAAGAGGCCTCTGTGTGGATTTCACAGTCACCGAGATTGATGGCAGGAGAAATGACTGAGTCAGAGGAGGACAAGAAATGAAACTATGGGAAATTGTCCAAGTAACAATAAATGGCCTGGAAGACGTGGAGTCCTGGTGTGACTGGGGCAAGTGAGCATGAAGAACAATGGAGTAGCTGGACAGGATAGCACGTGCCTATAATCCCAGCTAATTGGGCTACTGAGAAAGGAGAATCAGTGGGCCCTGGAGTCCAAGCCATTCTGGGTAGTAAAGCAACACCTAGTCAAGGACTAGGAGAAAAACACAAGAAGGAAAAACAGAAAAGGAAAAGCAAGAATGATGGGATTCATATTGGTAGTCTTAAGGAAAAGACATAGTTACAGTTGTATTCTCATTTTCAGGACTGATCTCGTAGGCAATTTGTCCTGATGAAGAGAGCAACACTACCAGAGGGAGCTGTGGTTGTACAGAGCACGTGAAACTGTGGGCTCTATGCTGCATGGGGGTTGAAATGGTTTCATCAGGAACAGAATTTGGAGGTTTTCTATACACCCAACACATTGGCACGCACCTTGGGAAGAGGTTCTCTTTAAACAAAACAAAAGTAACTTCTTAATCTCTCAGGAGTGGAAAACTTACCCAAAGGTGTATGTTTGCACTAGAGGACATATTAACTACGTAAGACTACATAACTACATATTAGCTACATAAGACTGTTCTGTTCCACTTGTTCTTGAAACGAATATTTCTTCAAAATATTCAGTGTAGTCTCCTGTTCTCAAAGTGTATTTGTGAAGGGTTCCTCTACCACATTACACAGTTAGAAGTCCAGATGGGTAACAAGCAAATGTAGACTCCTAGGAAGATGAAAATTTTGAGAAAAGAGTTTTGAAATTAGGGGGATTATCATGTGGCCACTTATCTAAAGGGTAGTAGCTTCATTGATAACTACATTACATAATAAAATATATTTTATAAGGATCTGCTACCTGATTTGTCAATATACAATTCTCTTGTCTGAAAAAACCTTCTAGTCTTTATAAATACAATTATTAAAAGTCAACGTGTAAAAATATTAATATGAACATTATGTAATTATTACTGTCTAGGCCAAGGGTTTCTTGAGGGCAGGGTCCATCAGTAATGGGAATAAAAGGAGTATTGAAATGGGGTGTGGAGGCACATGCCAACAACCCTAGCACTGTGGGAGACTGAGGCAGGAGGACTAAGGGTTTGAGCCTCATTTTTGCAAATCAGAGGATCAAAATGAAATAAAAAGACTGGGAATTTAGCTCAGTACAAAAGCACTGGTTTCAATTTCAGTACTACACAAAAAAAAGAAAGAAAGAAACTCAAATATCCTTTTTAAAACTCTAAATTCTCATAAAAACATTCACCAACATGTTCAACAAACGGTACAAATATTATCTCAATCACATCTACTTTTTTTTTAATTCGCTCATTTTTAAAAAGTTGAGAGGAAAGAAGTATCAATGGGTAATCAGTCTGAGAAGTTAAAAATTGTGTTTGAAAAGTAATACACAACCAATGATCACTATTTTCAGAAATTTACATTTCATGCATTTGAGGTTCATGATCTTCAGACAGGGTTGAACGACTGGAGAAAGTAAGCAGAGCACCTTAACTAACTCCCGAGACCACTGGCATCTTCCAGGATAGACAGCCCGAATTTCAGACATCCCAAACTAGACGCAAAGCTGTCAGTATTACAAAAAACTGAATTATAATTATCTTGGCATTCACCCATGAAAATATTCCCCCAAATCTACTTAAAAATTGAAAACAGACCAGGATCTCTAAGCATATCTAGGACCCATCTTGCTAGTTTCATTCAAGCTAAATTTGCATTTATTCCTTAATTATAGAGCTAAACTAGTTCTCCACTAAGAGGAAACAAATTACTTCTGGGCTCCCAAGGAAAGACTCTAGTAATCTCTTCTTATAGCTAAGAAAGCTGCAATCAACCGGGATCAAATAACCAGAGTATTCATTTAATATACTGAGATGATGATTCAACCAGGAAAAACACATTTCTATCTTTAAAGGAGAAACAGACAGACAGGCAGGCAAGCAGGTACAGACAGAGACAGAGCCGACAGAAAGAAAGAGACAGAGAGAGACAGACAGAAAGACAGAGAGAAAAGAGAAGCAGATTCCCAGGACTTATACCTTTCAAAATAAAAGACAAAGATTTTGAATTTATTTATACCTCATAGTGAAATAACTGAGAATACCTCTAAGATGCCAGGATTTTAGGTGCAGATGCTCAAAAGGAATAATGAAAGCCTACAAGAAAAAAAACCTTTTTTAAAAGTGTGTGCATGTGTATAGTTTTAGGGGATCTCACCACGTAGTTCAGGCTTGCTTTAAACCCACAATATAGTCCAGGCTGGCTGCAAACTAAGAGTGATCTTCCTGTCTCAGCCTCCCAAGTTCTGAAATTATAGGCATGCACTACCACATCTAGCTTAAAAAGACATTCTACTTTTAAATAAACAAAAAACTATAAACTGTATGCTTAAATGTAGTGAACAGCTGCCTTTGTGATGTGATTTAGAATTACACTATACCGTCTTCCAACTCAGAAATATTTTCTCCATGTGTATCAAAGACTGAAGCTCTGATTTCCTTTATATGGGATGAAATCAAAGAGATTCCAACATTGCCATTGTGACAATGCCCTTGAAAAGGATTTTCACTAACTACTGAGTAGTAAAATCCTAGTGAAAGTACTTATCTAAGTACTGAATACAAAGTATCTAGCAATACACTAATCTAGAAGCAAGTTAGATGAAGAGAATATAAAAAGGAGTTTAAGAAAGGAACCAAAACTAGAAACCACAGCACTCTCACGTCAGTGGCTGAAGGAGCTGAAAGAATTCTCAACAATGGAGCAGGAAGCCAGAGTTGGAGTCCAACCTAGGTATCAGATTTCTTATCCTAAAACTAAGGTTGAATTCTAATCAGCTAAAAAATGCAAGAACTTTTATGAAAGGTGGTAGGTTTGTCTAGAAGTCCAGGCTCAACTACAAGGAGTAAAAACAGTAGGGAAACAAAAGAACACTAGTGGAGAAGAAAAAAAGAGACACTAAAGAAAATGTCTCCATTACTGTAATTATGTCAAAAGATTAACTAGACATGTTGAAATGCGGTTTCCTGATACAGCCTCAGGTGTAAAAAGACCAACAACAGAAATGCGGGCAGAGGGGATCCTAGGCTGACACTGGATTACTGTTTTCTTCAAATTTAGATTTAAAAAAAAAAGGGAAAAGAAACTAGTTTTGCCTAAGGGAAATAGTGTCTTAAACTTAAAAGGATAGTCAGCAATGTTGATAGATTTCTTGGCAAATGAAAAATGCTGACTTTAATGTTTTCTGTCAAGAGTACTAACAATGAAATGACTAGAGTAAAATTCACTCCTTCATTCAGGAGATATTTATAGGGAACCCAGTCTGTGCTCCTACTGGTTTTGAGAAGGATGAGAAGACACCTCCACTCTTACAATATAGTACCGTATATACGACAACTGTGTTAATAAAGACAAAGTGATATGCTGCGGCCTAGTCTAAGCAAAAGGCAGGGGTTTGGAACAGGAGATAGATTTATTTTTATTTTTGAAAATCACAGGGGTTTTTTTTTTCATGTATTCATTCACACTAGCCCAAGTCCAGAATTTCTACGGATAAGTTTAGACACTTAATAAGGAACAGCAGCTCCTAAGCCATCTGCTTTGCTCCAAAAATGAAGATCCAGCACATGCAAACTTTCATTTCACTACTGCTCCGTGAGAATACTGTTGTCGGATGGGGAAGGTAAAATTTTATTTCATAGCTGACATACCAACAAATCATGCTTTATAAAATAGCTAAAGTCAGAACTTCATTTGGGTGGGAAAAAAAATAGCCAACCATCACATGAGCCCAAAAGTCAATCACTTTCAGCAAGTGCCTTTGATCCATTTAGGTGTCCTGTTACTAATCTTCTTCTGGTGAAGAAACATGTAAAACACAGAATTTAAAGTGAACAACAGAACCTTGTTATAACCAGACAGAGATACATTATACGATACCCTGGGGGATTTAAAAAATCATTTCCCAAACTCGAATCACACAAACCTGCACTTACAGTTACTCAAGGCAGAACTGTTGCAGTCTTACCTGGTAAGGAACAATGCTTCCATGAGCTGTGCCCCAACGTTTCCCTTCCTTTTGGCCAATAAGGTAATTGGTGGCTACCTGGGTCAAACATGCCACCTACCAGAAAAAAGAAAAGAAAAAGATAAACAGTTTGTCTCATGAACAAAACACTGTACTATGAAAGCAACTTCACTTCACATCACTGCAGAAGAAGAAACTACCCAAACGGATAAGAAGGAGTATAAACATCGGCACTGTCATCATCCCAATAAATAACAGTATGACATGATTGCATGCAATTAACTTGTAGTCAATTCGTAAATATAAATACATGCACCTTGAGCTCCTGAAAAGACCCTGTAATGCAGAGGCTGGCCAAGCAGAAAGAACCTTTGCCGAGCCTTGAACATCAAAGGGATAGTAAAATGCTACGAGGTGCCTTTCCTCTATATCTGCATCATCTATGTTCATCACAGCGACACAGACGGCCTATGCCAACCCTGAGCACATGAGCCAAAGCCAGGAGCCATATTCCTCTAAACTTCTCCTCACATAAAAAAGTCATAATAGCAAGCTTTTATTTTGTTTAAATCTGTTTAGTCCACTTTTCTGTTACTTAGATCCCAAGCTTTTGACACAGATAAGATTGTCTTTTTAAAAAATCCATTAAGCCAAAATTACTGTGCCTCTCCAACTTGGTGCTGGCCCCATATCCACATTAGTATTCTCATTCAGTTTCTGAGCACCGTGCATCTGTTGAAGGGGTCATCTAACACCCGAAGGTCAGCTTCTTATTCTTGCAGCATCTCATGGGGAGATTCTGACAAAGAACAATAGTTTCTCTCCATATAAGGACAATATGCAGATAATAACTTGTTTCCTAATAACCTGTCACAAGAAGCTTACACTTCAATGAATGCCTCCAAGGCCCAGAACCATGTAATGGAGGAAACGAAGTACGTTTCCATAGTTTGGATGTAGGGTGTGCTGGTCTCACAATGTAATCATGATATGCAAAAGTGTTTTGTTTTTTTTTTTTGTTTTTTTTTTTTTTGTCTTTTTCCTTTTTATCAGTACCAGAGATCAAACCCACGACTGCCTGCTTGCAAGGCAGGCACTTATGCCGCTGAGCTAAATCCCCAGCTACGCAAAAGTTTTTTGTCTTTGTAGATCCTCAGATGTGGCTGGGAACCTCCCAGGAACATCCCAGACTGAGATTGGCTCCTGGAACAACCTTAAGTTTGGGGTTTTTTAGGGCTTGATGCCAACTATTTTTTATCCCTCTAGCTGGCATGACAACTAGGCCTCCTACAAGAAATACTGACAGGACCCATCCTGGATGAGTCTCCTTGCTGGAACAGCTTTCTCCTTTACTTTATTCTTCTGATTTACACTCATTTCTATGTTCATTTACTGCTCTGCTGAAATTGGAACTGCCTTGTGGCAGCTGGTTCGGCTGTACTGCCCAGGTGGCAAAACTAATAAACTTTGAGTCATCCACTTCTGGACTTCCATCTGGTCTTGGGCATTTGAACCATGGAGCACTCCAGGGCTGCCTGGGGCTGCCTAGTGCTAATCACCATTTCACAGATCACTTCTGTGTCTTTCAAAATGGAAAATCAAATCAACATTTTGTAGCAAAAATGCCCTGGATAGGAAATCCAGATTCATGGTTTCCAAATTCTGTCAACCTCTAAATTGTTGAAAGACTGTGAATATATAATTTAAATTATTTGACCTTCAAATACATTTTTTATAAACTGATAGGCATTCAAGATAAACTGAAGTCTTTCAAACTTTAAAGATCAAAACTGTTACATCAAATTAAGTAATATATGAAATGAAATCCCGATTACATAAGTAGATATCATCCCAAATGCTTCGGATGAAGCAGGCCAGCAACATCTCCACAGGCAGTGTGAACACAGAATGCAATTTGCAAAATGGTAAATGATCCTTAAATTTGCTTCCAAGATCTACACTTCAGAATCCTTTTCTTCTTAACAGTGTAGCAAATTAAAAGACAGAAAGAATGCAATAGTAGTCATTTTTTCATGATGCCTTTTCTGGAACTTGGAGAAATTTCCTCAAGTCTGAGATCTCTCCTACACGAGAGGTACTTCTTTAACCCAGCTATGTTAAATTTTTTTTTCTTTTAAGTAAATAATGGTTGCAACTCAAGACCATACTCCCAAGTGAAATAAATCAGACCCATGTGTGTAAAAATTGTGTTGTCTCACTAGTGTGAGAAACTGAACAAGTAAATAGGATCCAAAATCTACAATAGATATTGTGAATTGAGAAGAAACTGTTCAAAAGAAAAAAAACAAACTGTGATGGGGAAAGGAAGAAAGAGGAAAAGAAAAGAATACATGTAGGCACAAGATAGTTAAAATAGCTATACAGCTAGCTTCTCTCCGCTCTTTGAAAAGAAAGTTTTGTGTTAACATTGTATTAGGCATCATGCCTGTATCCTGTACTCTGAATAACTACTACAAAGACAATATGTATGTATCAACTATCCTACTAACTATCCTGTTAACCTGTTTTGAAACTCAATTTCATTGTTTGTTTATCTTTTTCTCCTTAAAATAAATTAAAAAGTAAACAAGTATATCCTAGTGAAAGTCACTCATGAAGGGGCTTAGATATGACTAAAGGTTCATAATCAAAATTAATCAAGGAAATTCTCTGTATAAGATTAATCATGAGAAGTTGGTTATTTCTATTTCTTTCTCACTTCAAAGTTAATTGATGGTCAAAAGGCCAACATCAGCACAGAGCTACATGACACAGTAGATTGGCTGGATGGTTACAAGTTAATTTGTAAACCTTAAAATTATCTAAGACACTTGCTATAGATAAGCAAGAGCTGGATTCTAAGCTGAATATCAGTCTGTCTGTACCATTTCTTATGTAGTGCTTTATTATTTCTTTACAATTTTTGGCTTTTATGTTTCTGGTCCTACCCCTACAATATCTATTGTAGATCTGGGATCCTATTTACTTGTTCCGTTTCTCACATTAGTGAGACAACACAATTTTTACACACATGGGTCTGATTTATTTCACTTGTGAGTATGGTCTTGAGTTGCAACCATTATTTATTTAAAAGAAAAAATTTAACATAGCTGGATTAAAGAAGTACCTTTCTTGTAGGAGAGATCTCAGACTTGAGAAAATTTCTCCAAATTTACTGGTCCTACCCCAGTAAATTTGAATGAAGCACTCAAACCCATCTTTCAAATTGTCTCTAAAGACAAGATTCTGCAGTTCTCAGTACTGTAGTAATTAGTGAAAATAAAAAGCATTTTAGAATTAGAAGGCTCCTGGGGAGCAGAAAGGTTAAATAAGATTTTAAACCAGTTGCCATTAAAAAACAAAGTAGTTTTTGGTACATACTCAATGACAAAGTTTTGGGGAAAAAGAGTTCTATTTTTAAAAAGAGAGCAGCAGGGCTAAACTTAGCAACTCAGTGTTTAAAGGGGACATTACAAATCTGAAAGTAATCTGTTTACAAGGATATATTTTAAGTCAGGAGAAGGGGGGAAGTCAACAGCTATGATGTGATTATGTATGAAAAATCAGAGGTTTCCTGGGCAATTAATGACAAATTTTCCACAAATTGAAAGAGTGCAGGATGTGACTTTTAGGTTAATAAGTACATACTGTATATACATTCTAAATATTGCATTATATCATTACTTTCATCCCCTGAACTTAGGCTCATTATTTCATCAAGTACAGGCTATATAATTTACTCAGAATGTTGCCTTTATATGGTTTCATCTTTTTAAAAAGCCAACATTGGTTTAATAATAATCATCGTGACAGCAAAACCATTATTTTAGATAACATAGTTGGTCTGATATTCTTTGTATCCAACCAGAAAACCAATGGGGTAGTCAAAGTGGATCTCAAGGGCATAGCTACAGAAGGCTTTAGGAAGAATATATTAAATTATTTCAAAAAGCAGTCTCATGGTGTCTCTCACCACCCAACCACATGTTTCACTTCCTCCAAGTGATCAAGCTGCAATAATAGAATCTTTCATCTCTAAAGGAAAACAAATTTGACAGGTAAAACAGGAAAAACAAGATTATAACTAAGGCCTATTTCATCCCTCCAGCTACCCTGGTTGGCCTCCAACTAAGTTGGATTAAACCTGGCGCATGCACAACCTTCCCATATCCTGACCTATTCTTCAAAGTCTCTTTCGACATCCTCTTCCCCAGTAAGCTCTGCACCCATCACCCAAAGAACAGAAAAACTTTCCTTGACTCTGAACAAGTACAGTATCTTAATTTATCTAACTCCTGCTGAAAATTCAACATTTGACTTGTCCTACAATTAGAATTAAAAGAAATCAAAGTCAAAAGGACCTAGACAAGTTTTTCTAAAACTTTTCTGTGCATCCCAATCACCTAGGAAATTCCTGGACTCTCAAGCCCAGAGCTACTGAATCAGATACTTTAGGAACCGGAGGAACCTGGAAAAAAAAATAATTGAACCAGTGTACCATTTGTGGATTGGCTGGATGCTCAGATTTGAGAGCCAAAGCCTTAAGAGAGTCTAGTCAAAATTCTTATTATAGATGGATAAGTAAAAGAACAGCAAAGTGAGAGACATCCAAGGTCACATAGCTACCAAGTTTACTACTATCCTGCATGCTTTTACTACTTGCATTTTCTCCTTTTAAATTAGGGATGCATTAGAACACAAATAATGTCCTATAAGCTGTTGATATGTTCTCATTGGCACCTGACACAGTACCTGGACACTTTTTTGAACAAATAAATGAAGACAAATACTGGGGGCTACCGTGCGGAAGGCATTGTGCTAGGTATGCTGCATAAATAAGTAAATGAAAAAAATCTACAGCCAAGCTCTCCCTGGTCTGAAGAATACTACAGAAAATAACTATGCAAATGGTTATAGAACACTGCAGTGTAGAGAAGAAAAGGAAAAAAATTTAACAAAGAGAATAACATGTGAAAACTCTAAGGCAAGAAAGAGATTCAAAACCAGAAAGAACACTGAAAGCAAAACCAAATACTGACTCATAGTGAGAGAAAGAGAGAATATGAGAATGAAATTAGACAGGTTGACAAGGACCA